CACTCTGTCGCCCAGACTGGAGTGCAGTGGCCGCTACCAAAACTACAGGCGCAGGCTGCCACGCCCAGCTAATTTTTTTTTTGTTGTGGAGATGAAGTCTCACCGAGTTGCCCAGGCTGGTCTCCAACCAGCAGGCTCAGGAAATCCACTCACTGCAGCCTCCGAAAGTGCTGGGATAACAGGATGAGCCACGGAGCCCAGCCAAGGAGGACACTTTCTTTTTTTTGTTTTTTTTTGTTGTTGTTGTTTTGAGTTGGAGTTTCACTCTGTCACCCAGACTGGAGTGCAGTGGCCGCTCCGGGCCACCGCAGCCTCAACCTGCTGGGCTCCGGCGATCCTTCCGCCTCAGCCTTCCAAGTAGCCTGAATTACAGGCATGCACTACCACTCCCAGCTGATTTTTGATTTATTGTAGAGATGAGGTCTCGCCAAATTGTCCAGGCAGGTCTCGAACCCGTGGGCTCAGGCATCCACTCACCTCAACCTCCCAAAGGCGCAGGATTACAGGCTGAGCCACCGAGCCCGGCTGAAGGACACTTCCTAAGGGGATGTTTCCCCTCACTGGGCCCCATTGTCTATGTGTGAGAAGGTTGGACCAACCCAGGACTAAGCTTGGCTGAGCCATTTACACACTCAGAGCACTTTCTTTTTCATTTGCTCCCAATCATTTTTTTCTTACTTTTTTTGAAGGTTGGATGCCAAAAGTCTAGCTAGCCACGCTCCTCAGTGCTTGGCACGCTGCAATCCTCAATCAACACAAGACATTCTCTTTTTTATTTGCTCTTTCTTCCATATGTTCACTCCCATCCTATGTTCAATATATGTCTTTAAACATGCGGGTAGCTTTATATACAGTGTTGTTTCCTGTGCTCAGTCATTACACAAATGATGTCATGTAACAAATTTCATCCTGTTACCTGCTTTTCTGACTCCACACAGTTCTGGAAATCTAGCCTCGTTACAGTATGTGTGTCCTACCCATTGCTCCCTGGGGCTGCCTAGTGTTCCACAGATTGCATCCACCACATGTGACTCTCCCATTCCACTGGTGACAGAACCACTAGTCCAGTCTTACTTCCTGGCATTATAGTGAACCTCCTTGTATATGCCCTGGAATCTAGACCTGAAAACAGATTCTAGGTCCCACTCCAGATGTACTCAGTCAAAGCCTTCCAAGGTGATGGATGTGTGTGGGAACATTGAACTCAATGACAAAAATCCTTTTCTACCCCCAGCATTGAGATAATATTATTCAACAGAATTCAAGACCCATAGTGAAAAGCTCTGAGCCAACCCAGAGACTGTCCTGTAACCAGCAACAAGGGAAACTAGGTTTTGCTTCTTGTCATCTGAGAGACTTAAAGAGGCTTTCCTGATCATGAAAGTTGTTAGCTATTAGAATGAGTTCGTCATTCTAACTGGCCTTGCTATTTTGTGTCATCTGACCTTTAAGAAAGGCAAAAGTCCAAGATGGCTTCTCAAGAGTCCCTCGAATACTAAGATTCTTGACTTTCTGCCTTACA